GCTCTTTATAATGAAAAATCTAGCTTTCTAAGAACCTTTTACATAGATCACCAACGCTTTCAAGTTTCACTTTAACGATCATCAAGTAAATTTCAATTTCCAGACGGTAGTACCAGATGGCCGATCAGCTGTTGATGGTCGATATGCGCATCTTCGATGGTTCGTGCTGCCTATCGAGGTGAAAAGTGGTCTGATTGTTCATTGGGATAGCCTATTTTTTTCGAATCAACAGCTCTGAATTTAGGTGACCGAGAGGACTAGAGGTGTTTCGGTGACTTATCCAACGTTACCGTATCAACCGCGGCAGTACCCGGAACACGGTGAACACCTTGTGGGAGAAGTAGGCAATATGGAATTGGTAATCCAATATTTACAGATTTTACTCAAATTCACATACGCTAATTTACAAATTGAAAAGCTATTCAATGTGGAGGGTAACGGTTACATCGTCGTAGCGCGTTGCGACGCAGTGTTGAACTGTTATTGTTTGATAACTGCTGTTTAACGCCGCAGTGCGCGATCCGAAAGTTATCACAAGAATGCTGAGTTGTGGGCAAAAGTCGGAGGCAATGGCACAAATAGCTGAGAGGTCAAAAGTGGCCCCGGTAGCGTAATAGGGAACGCAACTGCCCGGTAAGCAGAAGATGCGGGTTCGAATCCCGCCCGTGGTCCGACTTTTGCCCACAACTCAGCATTCTTGTTCACTTAACGTCCGAGGACAGCCCATTCCAATTGCGAGGTGAATGGGTCGACAGCTGGTTGTGTACCACTTCCTCGTCTCAAAAGTGCAAGAGAAGGGGCTGGAGGGTAGTGACACCTGGGTACCGTCTCCATATTTCGGTCCGCCCTACCAGCCACATACCTAACCATAGCCAGACGCACTATTTATCTGCGTACTCTCACTCCAGTTCTGTCCCACTGAGTGCGTGTTTCGCTGTGGGACCTACGTATCGATGGTATCGACGCAAGTAGTACTTGAGAACAGTGCCGGCGGAAGTATGGAGACGGTATCCGGTATCACTACCCTTCAGCCCCGTTCTCGTGCTTTTTTGAGTGGAGAAGGTGATGCGCTACTTGTGGAAGGCTCAAACTCCCTATTAAATTCACAGCGACCTCGGCGCTCCAAGTAGTACATGGTCGTCCTTCCTTGGGCAAGTAGTTCAGCCCCAAGCTAGATACTATCTCACTCTCGCGACTCCTCAGCGAGCGAGGAGCGAGCTAGAACCGCTCAAAGTTCTAGTTCTAACGCCTGCTCAGTTGGACCGCCTCACTAGCTAGCTGCCCTCTGACGGAGAGCCGCTCAGTTGTTCCTTGTTGGGACGGCAGTCATTAATCGGAACTGCATGTATTTTTTGCTGACCGCGCTCGTGCTCGTAAATAATTCTGCTCTCCTTCATCACATTTTATTGGGAGCACGTACAGTCAACAGCAACCCATCTCGTAAGGTAAAACGCGTAAAAATCACGAATGATGCAATTTCTGTGGTGCAAAAGCTCGACGCACTTCACTACACTAAAACATGCTCGCTACCGTAACCCTAAGTTCGGACGCCGGCTTTTTAAATGTTTCCTTTTCTTTTCAAGAGTTTTTCCTCTATGTTTCTGTTGTTTTTTGTTTTTTTCTTCGCATTCGATGATATCCACTACTGGGAGATGTGACAAAGTGATTTGTGAGCCAGGGCTTGCACAGAGACCGCAGGGAGGTGTGACTGTCAGGTCGCGATTTTGTTTATGGTTCTTGAGGGCTCTTGTTTCTTTTTTCCTTCATTGAGGAATTACTTATCAGCTACTGTTTCATAATTGATCAGCAATTGTCCTCCTTGACCTTATTATCTGCGGGGGCTTGTCTTTAAATTCACATTTCTTCTTAAATGCGTCGAATGGAGGGTGGTGTGTAACTAGTGAGAAACCCTAGCGTCGAATGCAACAGGAGCCTAGTTCCATGCTCTCGGCCAAAGTCGTGTCGGGTGGACGGAGATGCTCGCTTATAAAAAAACCTTTGTCACTTGATATTTACTAGCTGTGTCAAATGGCAGCGCGTCAGTCGCTTTAAACTGTGAGGCGAACTGTGAATTTTTTAGGTAGTTATATAGAATGGAGTTAAGCTTGCCTTCATCTTGTTTAGCGCTATTTTATTTCTTTTGAAATATGTCTTCACACAGTAGACGCAGACAATAGTCTTAATAGATGCAAATTAGAAACAGCCCAGGCGGTCTGCAGATTACTAGCACTAGTGGGAGTAATGGACGATTTCTCTAAAGTCGTACTGATTCCTTTTCCAGACCAATCACGATGTGTTAAATGATAGCAATCAATTAGATGATGTGGACAGTGTGAAGGAAAAAGATTTCGAGGATCAGTGCGTACCAGTGCGCAGTTCTGGAGTGCAATATTTAGGTTCCGTGTGTTTCCTAGCTCTCGCTAGAGATTATTTTTGAGGGAGAAGTCCGGATTTACTTTTTAGTAATGGAGCTATCCTTCGATTTACAGACGATGGCGTTATGCATTGCCCTTTGGATCCGTCAGATCGCGGAAAAGGCCGCCTAGGAGAATTTGGTAGTAGGCCGGATGAAGAGGCTCAGAAAGTGCTAAGTAGCCCGGTACATGAAGCGTAATGTTACCTGTTATGCTCCTTTAGTTTATGTTTATTCCTCTGATTATCATCACATCCGTTCTAGACACTGGATGACTGGGACAAGCGCGTAGTTGTCAGGCGACGAGAGCTGACAACTCCCGAAGAAGCCCGAATACCATGGCATCAGCCGCCATTGGAGATGTACAGACGTGTCGCTGAGGCGATTCATGGGTTGGATATGATTAAGGTGAGATAGTACCTTCACTGTGGGTAACTCCTACAGACTATTACATCGAAACTGGGAGAAGATGATTGGTCACAAGTGGGCAAGCCAATCTAGTGAATTAACGAATCGAGCCACTTCCGTTATGGTTCCCGTCCCCAGGCAAATTGAAGCTACATGTCGACACGGTGTTTAGGTTAAAATCTTTGTTACGAGTGGCCTTTTTGCCAACTTTGGCCCGGAGAAGCCCTCAATAATAGAAATCTTCTGGACCCACAGCGCATCCTATATTACACCTCCATTACGCGCTCCGCCCCAGATAACTCCGCCCCTTTTTGTCGCGACACATTCTACATGTATGTTAGACACGTTTTACACTATATATAGATGTTTATTATAGTTTTTCACAGTTATACAGTATATTGACAGATAGACCCCTGACAACACTATATTTATATAGTAAACTTGACCCCGCCCGCCAGCCGCCGGCCCGACACTGACCGCCCACTCTTGTGGATTTAGTGAAAATTTCGCCACTTTATAACTTTATATCGCAGCATGCTATTTTAGTGAGACTTCAACAGCTACAATCTACACATTGGAGGGGATTTTTTGAATATCCAACTTATACTCCGCCTCCTTGGCGACGACCCTTTTTGGGCATTTTAATGTTTTTTTTTGTCGAACAAAGATGTTTAAAAGTCGAAAAATCTAGACAAAGCGATTCTTGTGGCTCATTATACTTTGTCACTTGGAGACCTAATAGTCACAAACAAGCTCCGCCCTCAAGGTCAAACTCCGCCCACTTTTACAGAAATTGTGGTTTTTCAAGAAATTTCACGATTTTCACTCTTTCCCTTACCGAGCCCCGCCCACTATTGGCGAGCTGCACCCCTTGTGGAGAACTCATGCCCTTCTGGAAATCTCCCGCCCATTCCGAAATTCTGATTTTCGTGAGATTCACGCCAAATTCCCATCGATATCAAATATTCATTTTTATACCCTTTTGTGGGAAACTCCGCCCACCCTCTAAAAAGTGGACTGGACGTAAAAATCTAGCCACTATTTGTAACATGCTAGGGTGCTCGTTTAGTAATAAACTAGACAAATCGCTCACCACCATTGAATTCGACAGCAGCAGCAACCACCCAAATCGGAAAGACCTTTCGAATCTTTCAAGTGCCCCTACGGTTGTCCCTGGGCTGGGTTTGATACATTGTATTACCTACATTATCACAGAAACGCTGAGTAATGGGCGAAAGAGTAGGCCTTAGGCCGGGCTTACTCGCCCCCACACGCTTACTGAGGCGTGAGCCTAATGCGCCTGATTGAAAGTTCCGCTTGCAGGTCCTAGTCTTTCTACCATAACTCAGCCACTGTCGCTAGATTGTTAAACAGCAAGTGTTGGTGTGCTGAAGCAGTTATCTCAATTGTTTAACGGCAGGTGTATTGCCTCTCGTGAATAGAACTTTTCGCATTCGTGAAACTTCAGAGGCCTTCAGCGGTGAAAACCGCTATGGAAGTATCAGTCCTCATCATTGCAGACCGGTGGGGCGGGTGAGCCGCGCTGCGTGTGACTCGGCTGTGACGCGGCAGCGATGACAGTCGCGTCACAGCCGAGTCACACGCGGCGCGGCTCACCCGCCCCACCGGTCTGCAATGATGAGTTCACGCAATATGTGCTGGCTTCGCTTGGTATGGCATTTCGCTGGTTGCCATCGATCATTGTCAACGCCTGCTGTAGGGTTCTGTGAACTGTTGTAAAACTATGCAGTAGCACGAGATCTGTTCTTCTTTGTAGTGGCTACAGGGTCTCAAGAAAGGTGACACGCGTAAGTTAAAGGTCTTAGTAGAAGGAACTAGGGAGTTTGAAAATGCTCGCTCCCCCTTGAAGGCAACTCCCGCGACCACAGTTCATAGGGAACACAGTTCAAAAATAGAAGTGCCGTGTATTTGTTGACTTGTTGAAGGAGAAGGAAGCACGAAAAAAGCGCCCGGAATAAGACCCTCTTTAATTGAATTGAATCATGATCACGCGACCACGCGTTAAGGGTTAAAGGCACATTCCGCGAAAAAATAAGGCTATGACCTCTCAAATGTGTCGGACGACCCGGAAGGCGATTTTTGAGGCTGCGCTACTTTCAAAATGTGAAAAACGGCAAGAACTCCGCTAGAAGCTGGCTAATTAGGCCCATGGACACCCCTTAGGCCCATGCCGACCCTCACCGGCTGCTAGCTACTAGCTAGTAGCCACTATGTTATCTTTATCTATAACATTTCGGACTGCTTTTACTGCTGCTTTTCTCCGCTAATCAGATACTTAGCACTTTTTTGTGCCTATTTGAGTTCCGTTTCCCGCAATTTGCGGTCGCGAACTGTGCCTTTAATGCAATTGTGAATTGGCAAGAAGGCGAGCGAGACACTGATAAGAGGGCGGAGAGGCGCTGTAAAACGAGCGGGGCGACAGAGAGTGGGCATGGCAGTGTCACTAACGACACGGTGACTGGAGGCCGGCATGCCTAATTCTGGCGCCAGCTGGCTAAAAGCTGAGCACTGCTGCGTTTACTTGGCCGTTTTTCAAGCTTTTGACAAGGCAGCATAGGCCTCTGACGTTGCCTGCTTGACCATCGTGCACGGTTATGAGAACTTAGCCTAGTTTATCGCGGAACGTGCCTTTAATCAGAGACGCCATAAAAGTTTTCTTAGAAACACAGGACACCACATTCCTATATGCGGAGACAGTCAACTGCAATGCCTTCCCCATTGAATGCGCCCTTTCGTTTCCTTAAGAGGTTGGGATAGAAAATTCCTATGAGGAAAGTCCCACTGTAGATTATCAGCGTAGACATAGACTGTAGCTTGACAACTAGCTGTAACTAGACATAGCTCAAATAAGTTGACTATGAACTATAAATATAACTACGAGTCTTGGATTGACCTAAAAAAACATAATGGTATTGATAGCGTGGTGCTCTTTGACCCTGTACCACAATAGAACGAAAATGCTGAAATTTTTAGGAAGGTGACAAAGTGCTTGTCTGTCTTTCTGGAGGCAAGGATTCACTCTCTTTGCTTCACATTCTACATTTTTATCAGATGCGATGTCGAAAGAATAAAAGGTATGCAAGCTGCAAAGTTTATATGCCTTACTGATTAACTCTCCTGTTTGGGGGGGGGTATCTGACCTCAAGCTAACTGGCTATTAGATTTTGAGGGCTGAAATATGCACGTGGAAGGAATAATAGGTTGTCCGGAAGTTTCTTAGGCGTTTGTGGGGGTGTTTTCCACTTGTAACGCGATCGTAACTTTCTTAATACTCATCGGATTTAATCGAAATAGGCACCATTCGAATCAGCACACTTTTGCCAATGTGACAGCAGTCGAGAAATCCCATAAAAGGAAAAACTGGGTGGTCGAGAATCCACGAAATCTACGAAGGTCTTTTTTGCCTGGTCTTAATTGAAGAAGTATTTTTCAGCAAGGAAGTTCTGAAAATGTCTGAAAAGGTGACAGTCGGTTGGTGAAAGGTCTGGAGAATATGGTGGGTGAGGTAGAACTTCAACCCTCAATTCGTTCAATTTATGGATAGTGATTTGTGAAACGTGTGGGCGGGCGTTGTCATGCAAAAGAATCGGACCCTTTCTTTTGATAAGTGTTGGCTGCAGCTGACAAATATTTTCGGTACATTTTTTCGATTCCCGTACCGCGCCACCGGTTCTGCTGTGATGGCGTGTTGGCCTGGCCATAAGTTCTCGTGACTTACACAGCCACGATGACCCACCAAGACCTGACACATTTTTGTTTCTGTGAGGGTTCGGCTTTGGAAAGATTACCTTGAGGTTGGTTCCTCAAATCCAACCACTCGTCCGGAAACACTCTCCTTATCATAAGCATGAGTCATTTTCCGATTCACAGGTGAAAATCGGTTAAAACGGGTCATGATTCTTTGTTGCGCGTAAGGAGCAGCGAAGAAGGAACCTCGAGACGTGCCGATTCCTGCCGGTCACTCCGATTGTGGGGCACCTAATTGTCGGGTTTTTTCACCTTCCCAATGCGTTTCAAACAATCTACAACACTGGATTTGCCAACGCCTAGCTTTTCTGCAATCTCTCGAACTGTTTGGGATGGGTCAGCCTTCAAAATCTCCTCAAAATCCTCGTCAGATATTGCTTTAGGTCGACTGCCATGAGGTTCATCTTCAATGCTGAAATCTCCTGAACGAACTTTGTTGAGCCATTGCAGCACCATGTGCTCATTCTTCTCTATACACTGTTGGAGCCCCCACACCTGGTTAATTTGTTGAGCTGTTTCGGTTGCGGATTGCCCCAATTTATAGTCGAAGAAAAAAATCGTCCGAAGTGCTCTTTTCACATGTTTGAAAAAATCTTGAAAAAAGGGAGTTCAATAAGCATGGTGAAACGGCAATTATACCATCAGATAGCGCAAGAAATTCTCATGACCAGGATTGGCTACTGAGAAGCAAGGCAGAAAGAGTTTTTAAACAGCAGTGAATGTACAAAAAACAGTGCACAAAACGCTAAGAACTTTCCGGACAATAACACCTAATAATTGAGAAAATTCGACAGATAGATTGATTTTTCGAGTCGCTAAATTCCAAACCGCAAGTTGACACCAAGGCAATCAGGCTAAAACGTAACTCACGACGCTGAATCTTTTTCTTTCAGCACAAATTTCGAACTTGGTGCTATCACAGTGGACCCCGGCTCGACAGCGTATAATCCGCGACCACTGATCGAGTACTGCAGATCGCTGAATATTGACTATTTCTACGAAGAGCAGGGTGATTTCCGTATCGCTTTTTGGATAAAAACTGAAAGTTTACTTTCAGTTCCTTCTCTTATCATTGTTCATATGCGCAAGTTTGCGACCGGGAGGGGGGGGGGCCTGCATTTTGCACTTTCGTTGCTTCACTAGTTCTGGTTTGCAAGTCTCATTATGGTGAAACCTTGAAGCTCTTGTGAAGCTAGAGCAGGCTCGTCAAGCCATCATGGTAATGTTTTCTCGAGAAGAGGCTGTCCACAGGTTGGGGGCAAAAAAAGTTCATGTCCGTGCCGAAAGCAGCCCATACGAAGTTTTCGCAGCCCAGACAGAGGAAGTGGATATGAGTACCAGGGCGGAAGATACCCAAGATCTTCCTCTATAAGCAGGAGCCGGCTGCCGCCATTCACCTTCATGTACACCAAAATATGAAGTCATCTCCAGTCGCGGCCTGAGTGGAGAACGCCTTTGGAATTCACGTGGCCTCCAAACAGCTGCGGAACTTCTTGAATGGAATCACCCATGGATAGCTACCTGGAGACAGTACTTCTTACCTGTCTTGAATGACCTCAAACATCGAGCGCTGCCGGCAACGTCGCTACGGTCCAGGACATCATCTTCACCCCATTCACCAAGGCGCGTTGATGGTGTGGACCGGCCGTACCTGGAATGGATGAACCGATATTTTCTTCGTGGGCCCCAGACTGAGGGTGTGCGCTGGTGGCTACATCGAGCAACTCGAGGAGAATATCCCATCTTCATGTCGTCCGCGTACCGTAC